GTACAAACAAACACACACTAATTGAGTGACCGCCCACCGTTACGTAAGAACACAAACACCCTAGGATATTTGCTGCTTACATTAATGCTCAGCAGCAGGTAGAGAATACTAATGAGTTCAGTGCTTCAGCTCATGCTTTGGCTTTTGATTGTTTATTGCACAGTATCAAAGCAAATCTCTTGTGTTGCTGAATCGGGTCCACTTGATTTATGTTTATTCAGAGGGGCACATATTGACGAATGAGAGCTTTTGAGGTGACCACTGCTGTGCAATGACCTTGTTTATGTTGTTCTGATGGCACGCTGAAATGTTGGACCACGAAGGAAGTGCTAGGAACAGACCAATGATAACCAGATTAATTCATAATTAATTCTATTTTTGATTAATTTACCATGCTTTGCTGTAGCTGTAGTTTGATCCACACAACTAAAATTATACTACAGCGTATTGTGGTGAGATGAGGCAGGGCATATGAAGGTGCTGATTGGACAGGTCTTAGCTAAGATGTCACTCTTTTGCTGGATCCACACAAAATGTTGACATATGGGTGTTTAGATTTACTGATTATTGTTGCTTTAAAGGCGACAAAAAAGTGGGTAGGGATCAGGTGTCAGGAAAAAAAACTGAAAAGAACTTATTTTGTCCTGATTATTGATTCAGGCGCAGTATGAAACGCAAGGCCACCTTCACCTGTCCCTTTAATGGAAGCTGCACCATCACCAAGGACAACAGGCGCCACTGCCAGGCCTGTCGCCTCAAACGCTGCGTGGACATTGGCATGATGAAAGAGTTTAAGTATGGCAGCTGACCTACTAGTCTTAAACATTAAAATCCAGTTTATCATTAAAGAAATTCTCATAGCACAACAACCAAAAGACCAATCCACCAACAAGGGGAATATTGGCCACACCAGTGTTGGGCTAGTACCGTATCTGCGTGTTGTTTAGTTACACAAGTTGTGCAATTAGCCTCAGATATTAGAATAACAGTTTTTTTTTGTCGTCCCACTTTGGCGGCTAAATATAATCATGTAATTCATGGACTTGGGTCAAGAGTCTCTAGGTCTTTGCCCCCATTAGTATGTTTACACATTCTGTTTAAACTGCTGAGAGCTCCCCACATTGTATGTCGTAAGTATACAGCATCTGAAACACCTGCTGCTACATACAATCCTGCCAGGCTTCAACTCTACACACAGACCTGTTTATTTTCATGGTCTGTGAATAGAAGAAACCAGATTTGTTGTTTTCATGAAGTATCCTGATATTGTCCACAGGCCACTTTAATGCAAAGACTTCTCACGTCCAGTGGGATGTTTTTCTGAATGTAGCATATTGTCAGATCCATTCTCTCTCTCTCTCTCTCTCTCTGTGAGCTAATTCAGTGGCTAGAACAACAAGGAGTGAACAGAACAAAGACAATGTGTTCATTTGTTCTCTCCAGCAGGAGTGTTTATGTAGAGACCCACTCCCATGCTTTCAGTGAACAACAATAATTCCCCACCTCTAGAAAACACTATATTGACAAAGCTGTCATCACTATGTAGAGGTCCATACATTTTATTTTCCATTTTTCTCTCTTTTTGTCTTTTTTATTTGATACATCTCTAAATATTGCAATTCTTACACACTCCTTATTCCTCTTTATGATCCACTCAGTTATTCTGACGGACGAAGAAGTGCAGAGGAAGAAGGACCTCATTCAGAGGAGAAAAGATGAGGAGGCACAGCGTGAAGCAGAGAGAGAGGCGCGGCGACCCCGGCTCACCGAGGAGCAAAGTCAAGTCATATCAACACTGGTGGAGGCGCACCACAAAACATATGATGACTCCTACTCTGACTTCTGCCGCTTTAGGGTTTGTAATTGGAAAAAAGGACAAGACAAATATTTAACAACATTGCTGTACTCCTATCCAGAAAAACAATATTGACAGTACAACAGTGCACAACCTCTTACTACTGTTCAACTGCTGTTCCATTGCAAATGCTATAATAATGATCACTGTAAAGTTTTATGTACACACAGACACATATTTATCCATCTGTGTACATTAATACACAGTCACATATTCAGCATATATTTGTATTCTTTGAAGTAAATATAGTGTAATTTATCCATCTGTGTACATTAATACACAGATGGATAAGTAAGTAGTAAATATAGTGTAAGGCAATGACATATAATGTTGTTTTTAGTTGACAAATATATATAAAAAAATCATCATTTCATTTTGTTAGGAATAAGTGACCTCCTGTTTTGTTGGCATAATGGTAATTAGTGAACTTTTCTCCGTCTAGCCTCCTGTGCGTGAGGGTCCAGTGACACGCAGCGCCAGCAGAGCCGCCTCTCTTCACTCGCTGTCTGATGCCTCTTCTGACTCATTCAGCCATTCTCCTGGTAAGAAAACAAACTTCTCTCCGTAGTGTGACGAGCACCTCTTCTAAACCTAAGGGAAAACGATGACTTATCAGTAACATGATAACACTGTTTTGTCCTTTCAGATCAGGAGTTAATATTTGACTCGTTACAGTTATGAGTTCTACATGGGTTTCCTGTTGTTTTATATAATCTGTTATGCTGCTTAACTGATAATCCTGGAGAAATCCTACCAGCACCCTGTACCTTCCACACACCTGACTCTTACTGGTAAACACAAGTTAAGTGGTGCATTTTAATAGGATAAAAACAGCAAGGATCAGAAGGTTGCTTGTTAACATGTACTTTACAGAAAAGGCTAAAAACAACATCATCCAACTCTGAATCCTCCACACTGTTCCACAGATGTCATTCAGATGTAGTCCCACTTTTACTGACCATAGAGCTGAGAAAATCGAAATCTCCTTTTTCTTAGTAATATGTCATGATAACTGCTATTTCAAAATTTATTTGTTTTGGATTTGATACCATTTATTTTTGCTCACGAGGGCCTTTACTAATTGTCCTTTCAAACACCGTTCACTTTTCCACCTTTCTTATTTGTTTTGGATTTGATACCATTTATCTGTGCTGACAGTTGTACTTCCTCTCCTCTCTCCTCCGCTTACTGCAGAGTCAGTGGACACCAAAGTGAACTTCAACAACCTACTCATGATGTATCAGGAGCAGGGCAGCAGCCCGGATTCCAGCGAGGAAGAAGGCAACGGCCTCTCTATGCTGCCACACCTGGCTGATCTGGTGTCCTACAGCATCCAGAAAGTGATTGGATTTGCCAAAATGATTCCTGGATTCAGGTGTGTTTACACACACATATGTGCATGTGTGTCCGAAAACTTTCCAGTCCCACTTTCAGCATTAGTGCGTTACAACTTTTTTCGAAATAACCAGGATGGCATTAAAACAAGTCTATGCAAAAGTGAAGCATCATTTTAAAAAAAAATCTTCTTTGCAGTTGTAGTATTTACCTTTGCTAAGAGTTGCCCCTGCTTATGTAATCAGATGGACAAAATAATGTTTTGCCCAGATGTTGCTTTATCAACAGAAGCATCAGTGTGTGCATGTTTTGTATTTACATGTCTTATAGTGACCCTTTACCTAAAGACTTTGTACACCCACTTGTTTTTTGATTAGTTGATACTGAGTCACAGTGATGACTGCGGTCTAAAGGCTAGCTGACACATTGCGGAAAGGCTTTTATGTTGTGCTCTTCCTTCACTGGACATAGTTATACATTTGCCACTGTCCTGTTGTCAAGGTGAAGTTTAGACTTTTAAGTATGCTAGTAGGTGAATGGCTAATCTTTTGAGAAAGACAATCCTCGTGTACTGATCGGTCCAGAGATAGGGATAGGGACAAGGCAATAACCCGGGAATACATTAGGATAATAAAACGGTCTGCAGCATGTTGTTTGTCATACTTTAAGCTGATTTGCAATGCATGGCTAAATAGCTGTTTACTCTGTAGCCTCACCACATAAGACTGTTGCCTTCCAGTGTGTTTGTCTCTCAGGGTGTGATGACGGAGACAAAACCCTGTGTCTAAGAGGTCGAATAAAACGAGTTAAGGCCTGTATTTCCTGAAAGTTGTCATTCTCACATGCAGTGATTGATGGACATGTTTGGATTACCAGTGGAATGTTCATCCACTTACGGTCTGTTCCTTAAGCCATGAAAAACACCCGGGACCTCCCCCGGAGGTCTGCCTTCTGTAGCGTATGTCTCCTGCTGTCACAGTGGCAGTACATCAACAACACATAGAACTATTTTTACCAGAAGCTGTAAATCGGTTTACTTTTAACTCACATGTCTCGGACAATGACTGACCTCGAACCTACAGCCAGTAAAACATTGATAAACAGGGTGGTACACATGATTTCTACCACTGATAAACTAACACGACTACTCAGTCACTTGTTTACTTGCTTATGCGTTAGCATTGTCTGTTGTTGGACACGATCCAAATGAAATGATCAACATTTGGAGAGCAGTTTCTTTTGACGCTCTGCCCTCTGTGCCATATTTATTTACTTCTGTTTGCAGAGAGTTAACTGCAGAAGACCAGATCGCCCTGCTCAAGTCCAGCGCCATTGAGGTGATCATGCTGCGCTCAAACCAGAGTTTCAACCTGGAGGACATGTCTTGGAGCTGCGGTGCACCTGACTTTAAATACCAGATCAGTGACGTCACCAAAGGTTGGTCTCAATGCTGCCACCTGTACACTCTGTGTGTGTGTGTGTGTTATGGAGACAAGCGTGTGTTGGTGACAGTGGCAAAATGTTTGGTTTTCCAAAAATAAATGAAGAAGTAGTTTGGTTACACATTAACGTGTCTTATCAGAGCCTGAGGCAAATACTGCAGTATTATGTATCATCGACAAGATCATTAGTGTGGGAGCACAGACATGGATACTGACAGTGATGTATGTTCAGCCCTTTAGTCAAACAGTGTAATGCAAGTTGCTCTTTTAAACCAAAGTGCTACGTGTCCACAGAAGTCACTGTGGGAGTGGCCTTTCATTTGCTTTATAAACAAGACCCCGTCTTTCACTGATCAACCCAAGAATGTCACCCCTGACTTCCCCACCACACAAAACAACCACTGTCTGTGGAAAAAAAGGACAAGAAGCTCTGTTGCTGTCTCCTGAAGTATGTGAGCAATACTGGAGCCCTGCTTCAAATGCAGTGAGAAGGCATTTGTAACCACACATTTTACAATACAATATACAGTATATTTACAATATTACAAAACAAAAAGAATTCTTCATGAAAAAAAATATTTTATTTAAAATTCAAAACAACTACTGTAGACATTTCCACTGAGAATACAAGTTGCAAACTATTGGCACATAATATTCATGGTGTTTTTTTAGATACAAATGCAGCTGAGAATGGACAAAGATAATCAAAGCCTTTTGTCCATCTTGGATGAGTAGAAGCCCAGAATGTTGAGTTGCTTGTGCAACATTTTCATGAAATGCCAATTATCTTGTGAAGTACACCACAGAATAGTGAGACACAATCCAGTGTTGCCTGAAAGGACTTTGATAACTTGTTTTTTTATAACTAATCAGACATTGATGTAGACAATTTTATATTATAAAAATGTACGTGACCATTCAAAGGGAGTCTGGATGTACAGTAGGTAATAACACAGGCTTCCCATTGGCCTAAATGTAGTTTTCCTTTGAATTGGGCTAAAGACACTGCAGTCTTTTCTTGCTTCACTGACAAATGCAGTCAGTGCTTTTTGTTTATAAATTGTTGTCCAAACTTAGAGGTAGAAAAACACAAACACAAGGTGGGGGGTAGAGCCCCTTAAGGGGGACACGGCTATTGCAAGCGCAACGAAGCAAATTATTCTGAGAATTTATTTTTGAGCATAAAATCATGTTGTTAAAAATTACAGAATCCATTCCCCATTTGCCTAGATTCTCCTGTTTTTAGTTGTAGCTCTATGCCTCAACACTAAAGCATCACGCAAAATGTGAAAATCGGCAGCATGTGGAAGAAAATCTCTTCAGAGAAAATTCCAGGGGCCTTAATGAAACATTAATAACTCCCCTCCCAGGAGACCTTCTTGTGCAGAAGAGTATGGAGGTGGTTGTACTGATCCTGACTGATGTTGTTTCTCCTGCAGCTGGTCACACCCTGGATCTCTTAGAGCCACTCGTGAAGTTCCAGGTAGGGCTGAAGAAGCTCAACCTGCACGAGGAGGAACACGTGCTGCTGATGGCCATCTGTTTGCTTTCTCCAGGTACTTCAGATTGTGTAAATGTGTAGGAAAGAGCATGTCAAAGGTCACCGTTAATAGTGTATGACTGATCATGTGAGCATGTGTTTTTCCCCCAGTGAAGTGAACACTCACACTGGAATATATAGTAGTGGCAAATGATCGAGTACAAGGTTTTCCACAGATCACTTATTTCATTATTGATTTCTCACGTTGCTTTCTATACTGTGCATATATTGGACATGTGTTAAACACAGATGCACGTAAGCAGGCATACACGTTTAACTTGGAATATATTTGTATTCCTATATGCATATACCCAGCTCATTAGGAATATATAAATCTACTCTTGCTGATCAATAATTAGCTTTAAGCCTCAACAGAATTATGTCAATCCAGTACAACACCGTAGTCTGAATATCTATTTGTCATGAGTATTTCACTAATTAATTATAATAATTTGTCATGAGTATTTCACTAATTAATTTTTTATACTGAATTTTACCAAGTATCAGATTTTAATCTTTGTTCTACATTGTGTTTTAAAACTCTGTTTTCAGACAGATTTTAATTTTAAAGTCTTAAGACCACATTAGAAATAATGCTCGTTTTCTTTCCTGGTAATTTGTTGGTCATAACCCTGTGCAGGTATGCTTCAGGCTGTAGGCCGTACACCATGTGGATCAAAAATCACCTTTGACCTTAGAATCACCTTTGACCTATTTCTAAAAAAGACAGTGGTGCTGTGATGCTTTCCAGGCAGAAAAGCGCTCCTGGTTGTATATGTGCAGTATTTAATCATCAATGGACTAATGTTCCTCTGTTCATTCTCTGTATTAATGCTGCTGTGTTTGTGCATGACACATGACATGTCATCACTTTTGCCTGAGCAGATCAGTAAGCAGAACCATGAAAAAAGCTACAGTGTTTTCAACAAGTTGATACCTTGGAAAGTTAATACCTGGAAGCCAACTTAATAAATAAAAATTTTTTATTTTCCCTGAAAAAAAGTTTGGGTTTGAATTCCTCGACTGGACTGTAATGTGGGGTCGAGTAGAAAGAGCACAGCAGATTTTCTGGCTCTATTCTGTTCGGAGTTTGCTGAACAGAAGGTGCCAATTATCTCCCTGATAGTGTTTCTCTTTTTGTCTGAAACCTGTTATTATTGCAATAACACTATTATAATTAATGTCCACTGGTATAAAGGCGCTGTCAGTCAGACAAATAAAGCTGTAACACCTCCTGTAGGCACACAAAAAACTAGGCTCCCCCTGAAATTCACTGTGTAAACCAAACCGTGGTTATTGTTACACAATTTCACAATATGTAACTTTGAGTTATGCCATTTTTATTAGTATTCACTGCTATGGATTATTCTCATTTAATGATTAGTCATGATTAAATACAAACGATCATGATTAATCATGGTAAAACCAATTGTAATACAGTTTGAATTGGAAGTATCGAAAGATGTCAATGAAAATATCTATTTATTTTGTTACAGTGTGAAATTAATTAGAGCTAACTAACGCCTTCATCGTTACCTTCATTAACCACCATTAGATTCACAGGGTTTTGACTTCTTCTGTTGTAGACCGTCCAGGCGTGCAGGATCATGCACGAGTCGAAGCCCTTCAAGACCGTCTTTCAGAGACCCTGCAGGCCTACATTCGCTTTCACCACCCAGGAGGCCGGCTGCTCTACGCCAAGATGATCCAGAAACTGGCCGACCTGCGCAGCCTCAACGAGGAGCACTCCAAACAGTACCGCTCGCTCTCCTTCCGGCCGGAGCACAGCATGCAGCTCACACCACTGGTGCTGGAGGTGTTCGGCAGCGAAGTTTCTTAGAGGCCTCGTGGAAACTGCAGGGAGGAAGCTGCAGACGAGGCCCCTGGGAGAAGAAGATGAAGGGAGGGTGTAGAGAAAGTGCCGATTGGTCTGAATTGAGGCGTTCGGGAGAAGAGACGGTTTGTGTGTGTGTGTGTGTGTGTGTGTGTGTGTCTGTCAGTTTCACGTGTGTCATGTGTGGAGAGGTCCAGTTTGGAGAAAAGACCGTGTTTTATGGTGAGCGTGCAGGTGTCGTGAGACGGGGTGAACAGGGGACCTTCGGCTAACTGAAAAGGAAACTTCACATACACAGTATTTTTTTTCTCTGTATTTAAATCAACCAACAGCTGTTTGGAACACCAGGAACTTTTCATGTGTGGATGTCGCACATGCCAACACAACCGACACACTCAGTTATTCATCTAGCTATTCAGTTGAGCTACCTCTTGGTTTTACTGGGGTTGTTTTCTATCTGCGTCACTTTTGTGATACAGTCACTTTTACACAATGCAATTTAGATACAGTACGAACGACATTTCTGTTTTATTGCAACACCAGTGCCTGCACATTACTTCTGGAACATTTTTGGATGTTTCAGTATCTCTTTTTTTTCCCTTTCCGCTTTCTCTCAAAAGCAGCATATATATAAACAGGACTCTGCATTACAATTCAGACAAATGCCTTTTACCTTTCACCAAAGGTATGGATAACTACTTTCTCATACAACTTCCAGTACCTTTAAAATAACAGGAACAAGACGGTTGGTGGTGGGTTGTTTCACATGTGAAGCCTCTTGACATGCCTGCAGGTTTCTTTTGACTTAACCTGCAACTAATGAAGGAAAATGTCATTATGTAGTGTTTACACTACAGAGAATCTAATCTGTAATCTAGTCTAAGATATAGGGAGTTTGGGATTGAGGGTGAGAATTAGCCACTAAATGCTTTTTTTCCACTGCTACCTGCCAATCAAAGTGAGCCTGCGCTCAGGCTTCTGTCTGTCCTTTTGAAAATAAGGTTTCATGCTATTCTGTCGTTTAATCGTCTTTCCTGTAAATACTACACCTCGACCACATGTATCCTAAGCACTGTCTTTATCATCCTTTTGCTCGAGTTTATCTATCGATGTATGCTAATCTATATGATCACAGATTTTTTAAAAGGGCTAAAATGCCAAAATTGAACTGGAACAGTTATTTTGAAGGCCAAAGCAAGAGGCCGCTGTTTGCTACCAACCGTACACCGCTGCAGACGTTAACAGGAATCAGCACAGATTTAACTTCATTGGTGTGGGTTTTTGTTTTATCTTTTAAAAAAAAAAACAATTCCATGAATTGTTCCACCTCAGTACACACGGAGCTCAGTGGGCGGAGAGCATGAGACGCTGCTGCTTCAGACCTCCACAGATATCGCACATCCCTTTCATTTCTGACTGGGAAGTGGATTTTCTAGAATGTCTAGGGTCCTGGTTGTTTGGTGCTCTGCACCTCTACACCCAGGCCCTCCAGTTTGATGATGTTATGCTGCGCAGCCCTCTAGTGGCTGCATTGTGTAAATACCAAGTATAAATATATCAATAGTATATATACTGTATGTGATGTGTTCATGGCTGTACATAGGGCTACATGGGTATGTCAACGGGCAAAACTTTTAAAAGACATATGCAAATACAATAGTGATTTTTCGTTTTGGATGCATTATCTCGTGAATGATGTGCGTACTTTGCGCGTTTGACTCAGATTTTGATTGGTGCAGCGGCGGACTGATGCATTTGACTAATTTCTAAGGGTTTTCTTGTCAGAAAAAAGGACAAACGTACCATGCTGCTCTCTTATCTAAGCCATATAGATCACCCAGCTAGTTATACACCTGATGTATTAGTATGTCAAAGAGATGACTCCAGAGCCTTACATACCCTCATGATATTCTCTTTCCAACTGGTATGCTTTTTATAACTACGGCTAATGAACGATAAGCTTGTGTATGATATCGACTCATATGCCTTCTCTCTGCTGTCGGTCGTCTTTGTCTTACGCCTCGTCAGGTAGCATCTAATGGCTTATACCAAACTGCCAGGAAATGTAAATCATTGTTGTTTGTCCTGGTCCTGGGATTTTTTTGTCAAGTTAACAAAATTATGTTATGTGGAAAAAAAAGTTTCCCAAAAAATGGGTAATGTCAATCTGCCATCTGCTGGTGGGTTGTTTTGCAAGAAGCTTGTTGGCCTGAGAAGACACAGCAACAGTCTTAATCTTATTGTTGTTTGCTTGCTGTGTAAAAAAGAAAAAGAAAAAAAAAGGTTCCTCTGACTGGCCGCGTGGGCTTCCATTGTCAGCAGTAGAGCTTCCTTCATCTCCAGGGTTGAGCTGTGATCAGACAGACAGAGAGAGAGAGAGAGAGAGAGAAAGAGAGAGAGAGACTGAGGGTGAAAGTGTGTTTTTTGTTGTTGATCTCAGTAACTGTCCAGTCTACACCTCCACGGTGGTCACTGTGACTTCGTCCAACTTTTCACACTGCTTCACTGTGATGCTCAACATGCTGACGGTTTACATTGGACACATATAGTCTACAGAGTAAAACTGTTTTTTTGTGGGGTTTTATTTTTTGGGTGAGGGGACGGAGGTCATTTTTAGGCAGTACCACTCATGTTGTGTTGTGTGTGATGAGGGCTATGATGTGCTTGGTTACTGAACACTGACCTTTGGAAGGTTTGAGAAGTCTCCATTTCCACTTCATAGAATTCGTTTTATCCTGATGGTGGAGTGTTGTGTTGTGATGTTTGTTTGAAGAGGGTGGGAGTGTTGACGAACATGTAAGTGCCACGCGGACAGTTCCCGCCACATCAGAACAGATTCAACAAAGCGTTTTGTATTTGAGACAGGGTTTTAAAACCAAAAAGGAAGTGTCTTTGAATGCACCGTGCAGCCACTGTTAGCAAATGCAAAGTTTGACGACAGGAAGATGGACACAGTTTTGTTGTTTTCCCTTTTTCTTCTAATTATGTTTAATAAGTTGAACCCCCTCACTGTAAATATGGTTCTTTCTTAGACTTTCCTCTTTGGTTTTTCCTGCGCGGCCCGCAGAATTCATATTACCAAACCTTTAAAACGTGTTTTTTATAAAATAGCAATGCATAGAAATTACATATTAGTGGGAACATATACACTACGAAACACACTTCCTTTTTTGATGGTTTCAACATAACAAGAGTAACATCTCCTGCAATATATAACTAACGGTACAGTATCACCAGCAAGCTTTACTCTTAATCTCACTGCTCGTGTCAGTTGACTTCTTAAATTTTTCATTATATTTTTGTTCTATACCGTTTCTATTACAAACCTGTCTGTAAAACATGCTTATTTTGTGTCATTTATAGGAACCAGTTGCCAGTCTCACATGAAAAACTTATATTTTATTATTATCATTATTATTGTTGTTATTTTCTTCCTTTCATTAGGACAGAGATTGCAATGAATTCAACTTAATGTAGTTCTTAAGCAGCAGGAGTGGATGTAAACCATAATCTACCTAAAAAAAACCTACCTCTCTTAGCTCAAATGTTTTTTGTTTGTTTTTTGTTGTTGTTTTTTTTTTTCATTTAGCATTTGCCTCTGTTTTAACTTTTGTAAAATTTGTATTCATGTTGGTATTTATTACTGTCTAATGAGTCGTACTTCAGTGATTACCTCAAGGCATATCTCACAGATTTGGGAGAGTCCAGCTAATGAAGTCATTCTTCTTCTTCTTTGCTTTCTTTTTATTATCTGTATAGAATTTCCTGCTCAGATTAACATTGCCTTTTTATAATGCACAAAGAAAAGTACCAGGAGTGTGTGTCGATCCAGTGCCTGTAGTTTGACCAACAGGGCTCGGACTGGCTAGGATGAGGCTGCATTCACTCCAGAAGTGATGTCCTCTCTGCGTTTTTTTGTCCTTTTGTCTTTGTCCTTAGGACATGCGTGTTCTCCAGGGACACCAGATGCTATTAATCTTGTTGCTTTCTCCTCTTATGCAGCCACAGTATCTCCACAGAGTTCCGCTCCTCTCTGTGTCCTTGCCGTTAAAGATAAGCTGAATGTCTTCATTATTCTCTGAGAGTGAACTGATCAGAGGAGTTTTTCTGGGGTGAATGCAGTTGGCTAGAAGGAACATCCTGAAATGACTCTATGGCAGTAAGAGAGAGAAGAGGAGATGTGTCTGTGACTCTACCACGTTCTAAATTCTCTACGTCTCTTTCTGTCTTAAAGTCTGTCTCGTAGGCCGTACATGAGAAGTGGACAATTTTCTTTTGTCCGACTGTGAACTCTGATGTTGTTAGGCTTTACTTGTTCGTGACACTTATTTTATTGAGCTGCATCATAATGTACAAATTCCACAAAAGGAGTCTGTGAGTTCCTCGGGACAGTGGCGGCGTTTACCGTCTTTATGAATCAAATGAGAAGTAGCAGAATTTCTTCACTTTCTTCCCATTCAACTTCCCTGACTTCACTTTCAGAAACTTAAAATTCTCCGTCCGTTTCCTGTGGACGGTTTGTGGTCTGCTGGCTCACCTTCATTGTTCCCTGCCGTTGTTAGGGCGAAGCAAAGGGAAGAGAAAAAAGAAGGTTGTAATCCTCAATATCCATGCAATGCTGCTTTTATCTCAAACATCACCAAGTCGTCTGTGTGTAAGTGTATGTATGTGACATTGACGTGATGAGGGAATCATCCAAAGTGCCGCCTCACCACAGCGTGGCGAGCCTCATTCAAAGGTCGTGTCTTTTGAACCTTATTAAAGCTTAGTGATGCTTTTCTGGGAAAATATAAATTCCATTATGATCCAAGTATATTTACGGAACTACTTGCTTTGGTGAATTGCGTTTATTATGTCTGTTTGTTTTTTTTTATTTCTTTTAGTTTTTTGTCTTTTTTTTCCCTTTGTATCCTTGTCAAACTGCTTCAGGTAAACACTGAAAGAAATTAGAGTTTTTATCGATCAGTGAATTTAACTATGTGGATTTAGTCCCATTGACAGCCCCCGACCCCCGAGCTGTGTGCCATAAAATGAGCCCTTCAATGCAGGGGGAGAGTGTTAATGAAGCTGGTCCTGAGAGGACCGTCAGCTTCATCAAAGTAGGAAGGTTGTCCACTTGTGAGATTGGCTCCTGTCCTCGTGCTGTGTCAGACACGTGTACTGATCTGTATTTTTAGAGGAAGAAAAACACAATTTGAATTTGGCACATTGTCCTAACCCTGCATTGTGAATCCAAATCATGCCACGTTCAAAGTAAAATGCCTAAACCAACAAACGCACTTAATGAAATGTTTGCGACCGATGCAAACTCCCCTAATCGAGCCATAAGCTGCCTGTTTAGGTCAGTGTCATATGGATGTAATTATATTTAAAAAAGAAAATCGAGGCACCTAAAGTTTAATGTATTTGCAAATTTCCTTTACACAAAAATCAGCTTTTTTTCTATATAAATTGATGTTTATGTATTGTTATTTTTGTCAGATGTTTTGAAAATTAAACAGTTGTACATAGCAGTCTGCTGTGGATGTGGTTTTTATTGTGTACAGATTTTGATCTTTATGGTCAATTCACTCAATTATTTATATATTTCTTTATTAATTATTCATTTTTATGTCCCTTTGATGATTTTATGTCAACTGACTGAACATTTTCCAGCTACTGAAAAATGTTCACTGCATTTTGTTTTTTCTGCTTAAAAAGGTTCCACTTTAAGATAATAGGAATTATTTCCAAAAAGTTCCAACCAACAGAAATAAACCTCTCCCTATGGAACACACTGTCAAACTATCTTCAATATTTTTTGTGCGTGTATATAATGTTCCGACCACTAGAGGGCACTGTCTGTCATTGTATGTGTTGTGTAAAACCTCAGTGACCTGGCCAGTGACCTCTGCCTGAACAGTGAATGAGGTCAGTGGTGAACAGTTCACGTGGATGATAGTGGACAGACCCTCACCACGACACAGTGATGTGTGTGAGGAAACACCAAGTGCTGGTTTAACGCCCTCGGCAGCAGAGGCCGTCGCAGTCTGTATCGTGACACATCTGACACGTCTGCAATATGGCGGAAGAGATTTGAAACTCACCTCTGCTCACATCTCTGTGCTTGGTCACGTATGTGGCGAGATTGCACGTGAGGAGATGTGCAGGGGGTAAAAAAAATAAAAGGTTATCAGAAAAATCCAGTCATCGTGCGTCAGTTAATTGTCAGCTCTGGTATGAAACAGAGGCCCTTATTTTGTCTGCTGATAAGGTTGCGCTGGTGCAGTGTCCTGAACTTTTGCCTCTGTGCTGTTGCGATGGAGGAAAGAGAGGCTCTGGTTGCAGCAACATCTCCTAGGTGAGCGGGGGCTTTCTGAGCTGCATTATCTCACAGCAGCGCAAGAAGAAAGTGTGCATCCTGTACTTTTTCCACGGGCACGTATTTGTGGCTGCGCGTTTCTGCCTGTAGATAATGAGCATCAGTGTCCTAACGTTGAACTGACAACGGTGACAGTGCCAAGTGGCTCTGAGGAAAAACAAAAACACTGTGGCACTATCTGATCTTCTATATAGTCATTATGGCCCTGAATATTTTACTACAACTTTAAGTGAACTACTTGTCATCATGACACTGCACACAACCAAATGTGACCTCTGATCTCTTTTTAACCCATCACCAAAGTGAACAGCAGCTTTGGGGAGCAGTGTGAGGGGACGGTGCCATGCTCAGAGCACCTCAGTGGTAACTCGAACCTGAAACCTTCCGGACCCAAGTCCGCTTCCTTAACCACTAAGCCACCACTGCCCACTTTAGTCTACTTTAGTTTACTTTAGTTCATCCAGTGGGTCGTGAGATAGGAAGTGGCTCAAAGGCATATGTTAGGTGGGTCACTGGTCTGGCCTGCCTTTGGTCAGCCGTCCACACCGAGGTTCCAAACACTGACACGTGGCTATGGTGAATTTACGTCTTCAAATAGTCAAGAGAATTCCAAACCTGCCTGTGTGTGTGTGGACTGTGGAAAGAAACCGCTCTGGGAGAACGTGCTCTACGCATGAAGGCCATTTGTTTTGAGCTGGGACTCGACCTTGTGACCTTCGTGTTGTCAGGCTTCAGCTCTAACCAGCACACTGTGGTGTCGAACAGTTAAACTGGACAGCTTCTGTTTTTGTTTTTCATATATATATATATATGTGTGTGTATATGTACATATATATATTCCACTGTGTTTTAATCATGATACGATGGATTTGTTATACAGTCTGTCATGTAAGGAAAGCAACATCATGAAGAACTGTGTTGTTTTCCTACTCTTTCTGTTTCTATTATAATGATATCATAAAATCAGTGTACTGGAAAATTGTATTCATTGTTTGCATTAGCAATAGCAAAAAAACAAGTGTGTTTGTGAGAGTCTGTGTGAGTGACAACAGCCATGCACTTGCTGACCGGAGTCACACGAGGACATTTTTTTTGTGATGACACAAGAAATTGGGAGAGGCAGCATGGTTACGAGATAACGTCTTTTATGTGAGCACACACACACACACACACACACACACTCACAGATAGATAGAGAGAGAGGGAGAGAGAGAGTATATCGGCTTCTCAGAACAAGTGGAATGGAACGACATTTATTTCTGTTTGTGGTGCATAAATACTTTTGGGTGGAGCCCTCGTTTTGTCAGGAGCTGATTACTGCAGCTCGGCGTGTGTGCTCTGATAGAGCTGCCCTCCCCATGAAGCCTAACTAATGCCCCTTGTTTATTTAAGACTGCATAAATGTCTGTCCTCTGACTGGGTGATGTCTCCGAGCTGCCCGTGGTGACGACACACTAGTTCTGTCTTTTCAGTCGAGTGAATGTGGTGTAGGTCTTGTAGTGGTGCATGTCCTGTACGTAGGATGTACAGTAGGTACTGTATGGTTGTGTGACTACACTCCTCTCCGTTCCTCCTCCTCCTCTGACTGCTGCCTACATAGACCGGGTCATGGCTGCCCTCCATGCAAGTCATCCAAATATCATTAGTGCTGAAGTCACCATGTGGTTTTGTTTGAGAATGTGAGGAACGCCTGCAGCCCGTGGGTGTTTCTCCACCATCGGGCTCTCAATGAGGCAGAATAATAATCCCTCTTTTCACAGGGCGGCAGCAGACAGAGAGATCCTACATAAATACTGAACATCAGAGTAGCACTGAGGCACAGCACCACAGCATACTGTACACTCCATCACTGTGAACAGCAACAGAGCGCACTTAGCATTTAGTTCAGGGCCTGCAGATGGATAGTTTAGTTTATATGCTATAAAGTGTATAGTTTAGTATTTAGAGTACTATGTGCAATCTTACTTAAAATCTTACTTAATGTAATCTAATCTAATCTAATATAATCTGAACCAAACTAATTGAATTGAATCGAATCGAATCGAATCGAATCGAATCGAATCGGATTGGATGGGATCTGATCTGATCTGATCTGATCTAATCTAATCTAATCTAATCTAATCTAATCTAATCTAATCTAATCTAATCTAATCTAATCTAATCTAATCTAATCTAATCTAATCTAATCTAATCTAATCTAATCTAATCTAATCTAATCTAATCTAATCTAATCTAATCTAATCTAATCTAATCTAATCTAATCTAATCTAATCTAATCTAATCTAATCTAATCTAATCTAATCTAATCTCAGTATAGTAAATTGAGTCAAAGTCATAGCTGGAATATATTTTCAAAAAAAAAGCCTTGAAGACAACAAAGAAAGAAAAACAACTTGGTGGTTTGATGATTTGTGTTATTGCCCTTTTGAATTTTTAGGGAAAAGGAAGACGGCAGTGTGTGTGCAGGAGTGTGTTTAAGGAAGTCTTCTTTCAGGACAATAATGGCAGCAGAGCCGCCTTAACAGCCAGGCATTTCCAGACACTTCCTCTGTATTTTCCACTGCCCTATTTATATTCTGCTTTCCCCTTTTACACACATACACACACACAAAGTCAAATAAACATCATGTGACCCCGGGCTCCAAACCCTAACCTTTACTATTATATATAAATCCCAAACTTAATTCTTAGTCCAGAATACAAGCTTAACCTGATTTTTTAAATATGTCCCTACAAGTTATATCATTATATAACTTATAACTTTGAAGAGGTTAAAGACACAGGCCTGAGAACAATGCATGGGATTTTGCAATCTGTAACTTCCTATTGCAACTGGAATTAAAGAAGAAGAAGAAGAAGAAGAAGAACAACAACAACAACAAGCCAAAATATATTTGTTGTTTCCTGTAATTATTATTCCGCCGTCTTTTTTTTGTCCCAGCAAGAAAATAAATTCCAACTCTATTCACTCCTAGTTTCAGTTACATTATCACACCTGTTTAAATATGACAGATAAGAGTGAGTACAGATGTGACTGATGTTCCGTGAAATCTGACAAAAAATTCAACCAAACTCTGAGTCTAAAGTTTCCAAAGTCAGTGCAGCGTTCATCTGCTGAGATTATTCATACAGACACTGCAGTACTTTACTGAGCAGAACTATTTTTTTTAACCCTTCTGAAAGTTTGAGTTTATTTCGTAAACGTGATCTATAGAACAGTTTGGATGATTTCCCTGGTTGTTGTTTGCACACTGCTGTGCAGTATGTGACCAAAATATTAAAAACAGTAGAGATTATATCTGAAAGTTCAACCCACTCCTCACAGTGGGAGCAGAGTCGATGTAGATCTGCAGACTCTCAGTGTACCGTAGTGTGTATGTGAAGTTATACTCCGAATACTCCATCTAGCACAGACAGAGATACGCCTCTGTATGTATTTAGGTGTTCTTCATCTCAAATATCACAGTGTGGAGTGGAGTGTCTGTGGTTTCCTGAAACTTTAGGTTCTTTAAGAAACACACAGATATATAGAGCAGAGAATCTATAGCTGTGGGAAGAACCAGGCGTTAGATGAGCGCTGATAATGTTCAGGGTACGGAGTACTAACCCCATTTCCAGGAATGTGTGCACACACTTTTTAAATACATTAGTAATTAAACAACACAGTCTGGTTAAAAACGTTCGAACCGTTGATCGTGACACGTCACTTTTTCCTCTTGTTTTAATTGCACTTTTCCTACGTTCTCTGCAAGAACTGAAAAGATGTTGTTGTCGTCCCAGAGCTGCTAAAAAAAGAAGCAATATTTCAATCTTGCAGTTCCAGCTTGGATGTTCTCAAGGTGATGTGTCAAGAACAAGCTCTCCCAGCATGTTCCTGACTCTGGGCAGAACAACAGTCTGTGACATTCTGCTGCGTGAATGTTGAGAATAAAGTTTACCCTCCTTCCATCAGTTCATCAGTTTGTTTTTTCCTCCTTTGTTTCTAAATCTTTTATCACTCTCATCGTGCTGTTGATGTATCTTTGTTTTTCCAATTCACACAATATTTTGTTGGCAAGACATGATTTGTGATGAAGTTATGAAGCGTTTTTGCCAGAACAAAGTTTGTGAAAACTCAAATTTCCCAGATGTGTGTATCAATGTTAACGC